CCTGCGGACTCCGTCGCTGGGCCGCGAGGGTGCCCACGACAAGGGCGCGGGCCGTGCTGCCGTCTCAGACGAGCTGCGCCAGTGGTACCAGCGTTCCACCGCCTCGCACAAGGAGCACAGCCGCCTGTCGCACACCAGCTCCACCTCCTCAGACAGCGGCTCGCAGTACAGCACCTCCTCCCAGAGCACCTTCGTGGCGCACAGCAGGGTCACCAGGATGCCCCAGATGTGCAAGGCCACGTCAGGTGAGAAGGGGCGGCCGGGCGCACGTGGGAAGGCCTGGGGGCGAACTGCTCGCTGGTGTCAAGGGCTGCTGCCGGGAGGTACCCTTAGAATTGGGTGCAGTGAGGAACGGGAGTCATTAATTCTGGGAACTCTGCTGTCAGATGCGGGAGACTTGAGGTCTTTCAGGCCTTTGTTGACCCCCTACCCCGCCCCCGCCCTGTTCTTACCCTAATCTTGCATGTAAGGGTGCACTTGATCCTCCAGAGTACACTGGGCCAGCCCCCCCCATTTCTCCTTGTAAGGACAGAAATCTAAGAAACTTAGGTAATGTCTCCGGGTTTATCCAACCAAAGGTGAGTCTTTTACCCTAGTGAGGAGAGTATTCCAGTGAAAGCCCACAGCTGCAGCTTGCAAAGGAAGCTGGGTTGGGGATGGGCTTGGGTCAAGTCTAAAGATTTGGCCAGTGTCTCCCCAGATGGGGGCAGACTGGCTAATAACCAGAGTGCCAGAGCTGGGCGTTTGACAGAATTCTTGACTGCTCCTGGCTTTCCCTTTTTGATGATGATACGCCACAGCCACAAACTATATTTTTGTTAAGTGTCTTCAATATCCTTGATGGTATGTCTGAAAATTTCCCTCATATTCTTGTAGTCAAGAGCATTGGGTGGTATTGAATCAAGTTTAAAAAAAAAAATGGAAGAAACCACCCATTCCTTTAAGTTACATTTAATAACAGTGACAGTGACCAACATGAGCAATTGCCTTGTGCTCTGGTCACAGCACTGGCTTATTAACATATTCTTACCACTCAGAGAGGGACACTGAGAAGAACAGAAATGGTAAACATTGTAAGAATAAAATGAGAGTCAGAAGCAAATGGGAGGAACTCTGAGTCAGGAATTTGGCAAAGATCAGGGGGAACAGTGACCTGAGATAATGGGGGGTTCATCTTTGGGGAACGGGAGGAAATTCTTGGTGCCTGGAGACAGCAGGGCAAAGAGGAAGAACCTGGCTGCCCAGGTGAGCCAGGCTCCGGCATTCTATCCCCACATCCTGGTGGACATGTTTATTAGGGTCCATTGGCCAAATGACAAGCTCCAGAGATCAGGCAATAGTGGGTGTTCTGTGGACTTCAAGGTCCTAGAACCTTCTTTATGCTCCTTCTTCATCTGTAAAATAGCCCAGTGAAATTTGCCATTGACTCCCCAGGAAGATCTTGAGTATGATCATCTGTGACCCTATTAGATAAAGAACCAACGTGTTGTAAATATCTCCAAACAGGAGGGTTTATGTTCTATCAAAATTGCAGCACTTGTCTAGTAGATTTGCTTTATGTAAAGAGATTAGGTAGATCTTTTGGAACATATTTTAGACTAAAATTTTTAAGAAGCTGTATTTGAAGTTTACTGATGGAAAACATTCCATTACCCAAAAAGCAAAGGATGCATTTAAGTAGGATTGACTTCCTACTAAATCTTTCCAACTGGACTTCCATACTGCCTACATCAATAAATGCCTAGTGCTCAGGTTTGGATGAGCTATTAAAAGCCCTGCTCCCTTCAAACTGCACTACAGTAGCAATGATAAGCCTGAAACAGCAGAGAGAACAGGCTCTGAGAACCTTTGTGGATGCCCTCTCTTCACAATGGAGAGAAACAATTTCACAATGGGGCTACACTGAAAATGCCCTGGGGCCAGAGAAATATGTCATCCCTGTATGAGCCCTGCTCAGGTCTCACTCAAAGGACTATGTGGACATCAGGTTCTTTGCTGCTGTTGAAGCTGTCACCATCCCTATGGCCACTTCCTGGTGGCAAAGTGGGGACCTAGGATCCCAGGTCAACTTGACTGAGAATGAAGGTGCATGGTAGTGGGGAGAAAATAGAATTGGTGGGATGCAGAGATGGTTCCCCACTGTGACCATGCCATAGGGATGCCAAGACTCTGCCCTGGGGTCCTTTCCAGTATCCCTGGAAATGGTGACCTCTGGCCACTGGGTTGGTGTCGGCCAACAGGTCACAAGCTCCTCCACCTGTGTCTGATCCCTGTCTGCTCTCTGCCTTTCTTGCACCACCTGCATATAGCTGCCTTACCTCAAAGCCAGAGAAGCTCGACACCGTCAAGTGAAATTGGAGCCACTCCCCCAAGCAGCCCCCACCACATCCTAACCTGGCAGACTGGGTGAGTTCTCCTTCCATGTTCTTCACTGTGTCAGCTCAAAAGAGTGTCACAGATATTCAGATCCTAGTGACATAAGGATAAGTCAGTAAATGGACGATGAGCGTTCATCACTGGGAAGTGTCTTCAAGAGAAGCCCCATGATCCGCTGTCACCCCTTCCTACTCCTTTCCCTGGCTGTGCCTTTATAGAGGTGAATTGTCTGTGTTCTCTTAAAGTAGACGGTGGTCCTTGGGATGTGGGGAGATGGAAGCAGGAAGTGGGACTGTGCTTCTTTGGTCAGATTTCCAGACAGCATTTGATTTCAGTTGAGATTATACCCAGGCACGAATGTCAGGGGGAGAAAGAGAGCTGAAGACAGCAAATACCCTGAGAGGCAGGTGAAACGGCCACTGTCTTAGGATGTCTCAGGATGCAAGAAAAAAGGCTGTGTCCTGGCCAAGCACTTGCCCTTTAGCAACACACAAAGGAGATCAGGCGCCCTGAAGCCTTCAGCGGAAGCTGTACACAGCAAAATAAATGAAACTGACAGGCGGCTCTTTTGATAGCCTGACATGTTCGCCTACAGCATTATCATCTCGGGGCCAGTGAGGCTGTTCTGACCCAGTGGAGGGTCTGGCAGACACAGGTAACCCACCTGCCTCTTCTGTTGCCCCTGAGACATCACTCTAAGTAGATGTTAGGTTCTGTCAACATCTGTTGGTTAGAGGAGTAAGGAGTTCCCCCTTCCTCGGTTTGTCTGGTTCCTGGTTTAGTGGAGCATCAGGGGGATGTCTGGGAAAATCTGACAACTGGCTGTAAGTTGAATCATGAGAAAAGCACAATTCCAGAATTGGCTCTAATGTCTGCCTTTCAGGCTCTCATACTTGGCCTTTTTTTTTTTTTGAGATGGAGTCTCACTCTGTTGCCGAGACTGCAATGCAGTGGTGCAGTATCAGCTCACTGCAACCTCCACAGTTCAAGTGATTCTCCTGCGTCAGCCTCCCTAGTAGCTGGCATTACTAGTGTGCATGACCACACCTGGCAAATTTCTAGTAGAGACAGGGTTTCACCATGTTGGCCAGGCTGGTCTCGAACTCCTGACCTTAGGTGATCTGCCCACCTCGGCTTCCCAAAGTGCTGGGATTACAGGCACTGGCCAGCATTTTTGTTCCTGCAGGTTTATCTGTAGTAATTTTTTACACAAGGTTTTCTGGAGCCTTCATTTTTGGTAAGAGAGAAAGGGTTCTAACACTGAGTGCTTGCTGTGTACTCAAAGGCTGGGAGCAGCTTCTAACACACAGCTCATATAATCCTTATCGTCCCCTGGCAACAGAAATACCCAGACGTTTTAGTTTCATAGATGAGGCTCAGAGGAACTAAGTGCCTGGCCCAAAGTCTGACAGCTGGAGGGAGCTGGAATCCTAGCTCTGCCCTCTGTGACCCCAAACCCTGTCTTTTCCCATTATACCAGTAGTTATACCGGTAGTTAAGTGTGGTCCCAAAGCAGCAGCACGTGAGAGCCTCACCCAGGATCTTATCAGAAATGCAAATTCTCAGGCTCACCTGTAACCTAAAAAAATCCATAACTCTGGGGGTGGAGCCCAGCAGGCTGCTTTCTGATAAGCCCTCCAGGTGATGCTGACACACACTCAAGTTTGACTATCACTGACCAATCCCATGCTGCCTCTAATTCCTTTTAAAATAAGGGAAACTGGAGCCCCCAACTCGCTATTCCTGTGTCTACTCCTACTTCTTGGGCTGTCTGTCGGGCAGTAGCTGCCCCTCTGTCCTTAACTCGATCATTAACACCTACTCACGTACCACCCACACCCCAGCTCTCACCTGTGTGGCCAGGCAGCCTCTGCAAGGTTTAGGGTCTAAGAGTCTCACCAAGATTAGCTCATAAAAGAATGACACATCTTTCATATATATAATACATACCTCCAGTGACTAAACAAGAAACTTAAGATCCCTCTGTAGATCTTTTCTGAATCATGCCCAGTCTCACCCGATCCAAATATATGATTGTATTTGGCAACAGGCTCTGAAATGTACAAGCACTCCTCAGGGTCCTACGCATATAAGATGGTCTTGAAACTTGCCTATTTCACCATCTACAACTAGTGAGGACTCAAGACAAATCTGAAACAAAACAGCTATTTTGGTTCTTGCGTAAACTCTTTGCTATGATGTGACACGAAATGAGGCCAGGGTAAAAAGTGCCAAAGAGGGCCCATCCCTCCTAACAAATTACGTCTTTGACTCAATTATGGGGACTGAAAGTACTGCATGACTTGTATGATCTGTTGCTAACTCAGGTATCTAATCGGTGGGCCTTTCGGATGTATTACTAAGCTGCTAATCGTGTCTGTGTCAGTTTCTCTCTGTAACATGACCTCTCTTCTCTTCCTCTTCCTGCTTTCCTTTGTTCAGAGAAGCAACAGAAAACTCACCCATTCTGGATGGGTCTGAGTCTCCACCTCACCAAAGTACTGATGAATAGAGGTACCGTAAGAGGAGTTTTGTTCCTACTGCCCATGAGTCTGTGGTCCCACATGTGCTGCATGTGTGTTGCTTTTCTCCGTATCACCGTTTCCACAAGGATACATCTGAATGCTGTATTTATGCCTTATTTCCAGATACTTACATCAGATGTTAGATATTCCCAACACTGCTTCCCAGAGTCTTGTTCTGTTGCCCAGGCTGGAGTGCAGTGGCATGATCTTGGCTCACTGCAACCTCTGCCTCCCAGGTTCAAGCGATTCTCCTGCCTCCCTAGTAGCTACAGGTGCACACGTGGCTAATTTTTGTATTTTTAGTAGACACGGGGTTTCGCCATGTTGGCCAGGCTACTCTCGAACTCCTGACCTTGTGTGCCTGGCCCCAAAGTATATTTTAGACTCACTATGTTCTACCTATATTCAAATATTTGTAGACATTTTACTGTTAGTAATCAGTGTCCCTGAAAAGAACAGCATCACTGCAATGTAAGTTTCAAAGCACCAAGGGCAGACTGAGTTGATCCAGAAGCACCCCCATCATTTCATCCCAGCATTCTTAACAGCTGTGCTGAGTACCAAAGGCTATGAGCACTGCTTTTCGAAATGTCCATAAGCCAGCATTTTTATTGCTACCACCATCACCCAGGAGCTCGTTAGAAAGTTAGACTCCTGGGCACCACCCTGGCCTACTGAACCTAGTGTGCATTTAACAAGATTCCTGAGTGAATAAAATGCATGTCGAAATTTGCAAAGCACAGAGGCAGAAAACACCTGGTCTGGTTCCTAGCCCCAGGACCCTTACAGTCTATCAGGAGATATACGAGGAGCATGAGAAACTGCCACACTTATGTATTCAGTGCTCTAAGACTTAGAAACAAAACGCTGAGAGGATTCAGAAATGCAAGGGTCACTTTTGAGTTCATGGAGATGTTATGTGAGCCTGGCTCAGAAGCCTGCGGTGGGAGGAGGGGGTTGAGACAGGGAGAGACCATTCCAAGTGCAAAAACACGGATGCACAGACAAGGGTCAGGGCTGGTTAACAGAGAGTCTTGTTTCCCGTAGAGAAAAAACTGGACTTTTGACAAGCACGGACAATATTGCAAAGTTAGCAGATGGGGAATCAGGGGACAGGGACTTAGGCTTTGGAAGGAAGGTAGACCACCCCCCGGCCAGTGCCAGAAAAAAGAAGAGATTTTGAGATAGGATGATGTCATGAGAGAGCAGTATTTTTGAAGTAGGAAGAATGGCCTTTTTCTCCCCCAGTATGGGAGGGCCAATCATCTCATCTGCTAAGGTGATGGAGGTAGGGATGATAGCCAGAACTAGAATTAACCAGGTTTGAAAGAGCTGCTGTGGAAATGTAGGCACATCTGCTTGAAATATCTACATGCATACATGTGTGCACATGCAGGGACACACCTACATATACTGAGCAACAGCACCTTCCCAGACCAGGTAAGACAGGATGCCTCTAGAGGGCCTCGTCCCCAACTGCAGGACTATTCAACAACCCAAGTATGTGCTACCAGTTGTTTTGTAAGTTATACATTTACAAAAATAATTCAGTTTGAAATTCCTCCCTCCCAGCAGCCCCACCTCCCTATGCCAAGCACTTATAAACCACATAATCCTGTGAGATGTGGGTGAATTTGCCATCTGTCTGGTATCAGAGGGCCCCTGGCTAGTATGATTTGCAGGCCACACGTCTCTGAGCATAGTGCTGGGAAAGCGCATTCTTCCTGTGGAAAGCCCCCACAGGCACTGGCCCTCACAGATTCTGACGTTGTCACTTCTGTGACCCAGACCGCCCAGTGCTAAGCTGCTCTGCTGGGTCACAGTTTAAAGAGCACAGCTACATCTTCATCCTGCCCCAGCTCATGGTCCAGTGAATGACGGACTTAGCTTTACTAGGGCAACTATTTAGTGCCCCATTTGTATTATTCATGAAGAATAAATGCTTCCTAAATGGTCTCTCTCATTAATTTTGCTTTCGTAGCACATGGCATTCCTTGACTATTACCCTAAAATTGAATTTGTACTGAAAGGCTTAGCTGAGCAGCCAGAACAAGGGTCTCTTCCCCTAACTTGAGAATAAACTTGAGAATAAGAGACCAATACATGAAGCAACATTTATAGCTTTAAAACTACCTTACATACTTCAGTAATGATGGGGAAGCACTAAGAAAGATTCTGTGTTTAAGACATCACAATTTTGGAAAAATACATCTTCACCTCTTTTCCTCCAGCTCTAGTTTCCTCCAAGGCAGGAGCAGGCCAGGGTTTCCATACTGTGGCCCCTCGGGGAGCCACCTGAGAACCAAACCACCGATCCAGCATCTCCCACCCCATCATCCAGATCCCAATGCCCTGTCATGTATGGGTTCTGTGACCCAGAAGGAGAACAGCACAGGGTTAGGCTAAGGGTTAGGCTCTTCACATACCGAATAAACCACCACAGGAACCCTTAATCTCATCTACTGCCTTATCCAGTCACTGCTTTGAACTCGGTGGTCTCCCCTTGAGTCTTTATGATCAATACATAGTGGACTTTTAGTCCCTGTGAAGCAGGTTATATTGTCACAATTATTACTCAACTTTAACAGTAATAGTTTGAACCAGAAACTGTTCAGGATCCAACATACAAGATAAGTCAACCTCATTGTATAATATTAGCCTATTTGAGAGTGTTTTTCAAAGTGTGTTCTGTGGATCTTCATAGGTGATACTGTTCCAGAAGTTCTGGGGCAAACAGTAATCCAGGACTTCTCAGAACCTTTAATATATACATTTACATTTCAGGCCTCTGAAAGGCAGACTCCTCAAATGTATTTATCCATGGAATCTTTTTTTTTCCCCTCAGAGCAACTCACAGGACTACTTTGGGAAACACTGGCTACAGTGGTTCCTTAGATCTCATGAAGCCCCTTAGGGAAGTTTTGTCCCAAACAGACCCAGATCATGTTCGTGTTAGAAACAAACATTTCATCAACAGTTTAAGAAACTACTTACATGTGCCAGTATTTGTTAGTTACATATGAAAAACTCAGTTTAACAAGCATAAGCAAACAAGAGCATGTACCGGCTGATGTCACTGGAGCCTGGGCTGGCTGGGTCTCGTTCCATCTCTAGCTCTGCTTCCTCCTCCTGTTAACTTCGTTCTCGGGAGGAAATGACATCTCTGTGGTTTCAAAGCTGCTCAGGCACATGGCCATCTTTGAACCAGGGATTGTGATCGGGGGACTCTCATTGGCCCGGCCCCACTGGGTTCCTTGTCCCCTGGTCCCCCCGGGAGTGAGGATGGCAGCATGGTGGAGAGCACCACCAGGACCACATGGAATTAGGGAGAGATTGTCCCCCTAGGAGAAACATAGGACCCCTGGAGGGCCCAACCACCTCTCCCCTTAGAAGTTTTTCAGTCACGCACAATTTCAAAAGTCAGCTTAGGGTGGAAAGAAAGTTTGCAGGACAGATGTCCCAGAAACGTCCACTTACCACCTACATATAGTAATACCCGTGGCCAGTGTCATAATCAAGGGCCTTTTCTTACTTTACTTCTGAAGCTGGTTTATTTCTGGTGCTCCAAGCACAGGACTCTCATTAAAATCCACCAGTATGTGCACAGATGCCTTGGGATTTTCCAGCTTTCGTGGATTTTCAGGCCAGATAAGAAACATTTACAACATCCAGTTGTTCCTAGAGAGGTTAGCAAATGAAACAAAGCTGGGGATGACTGCTGATTCTCAGTCGTGAAGCTGTGTTTGGTACTGAAATGCTCCTAAAACTCACCTGCTCCGAACTACATTGGGTTAGGGTCCCCTCCTGTCACCCATCTCTCTCCACTCCCCTAGCACTCCCTACGGGGAGATCAGTTGCAGGAGACGAATTCAACGGGCTCATTCAGGATCATTGGAGAGAGGCTGTTTTTCCTAATCATGATCCCTAGTAATGACTATCGGCTTCCACCTATCTATGATTGCTTCTCGAGATTTAAGAATTACTTCTACCCAACCTAAATGGTGATACCAACCTAAAATACTTAAAAAAAGAAAAAAAAAAAGCCTTTTATTTTCTTCTATAGACTTTCTTGTATATTTTAAATGAACACACTTTTATAATTACAAAACAATACATGTTATTTAGAATAAAGCAACGTCACCATTTAAACTTTTAAAACACAATTCAAAATACCACCACAGTTTCACTATAGGGAAACCTCACATTTCGAATGTTCTTCCAGGACAGAATGAAAATGTCCTAGTGACATCTGGTTAGCCCTGGGGTCTCACGGAGGACAACCCCGGCAGCTGTCCCGTGGGAAAAGTCCCCTGAGGACAGCCCGGAGGGTCTGGCTTCAGCTGCATCTGAGGATCACCTGGTGGGAGCTTTGGCAGCTCCCAGCGCTCAAACACACCCCAAACCAATTAGGCCATTGTCTCCCGAGGCGGGGCCCAGGCATGAGTATTTCTGAGAGTTCCCAGGTGCTCCCTGGATGCAGCCACGTTGAAGAACCAGCGCACTGAGTAAGCATTACCTTACGTTTTCCTTCTTCACAAATGCTCTAGGTTTCAGGCGGCCCCTTTGTGTGGATTCTGGGGCCTTCTGGCAGGCCTTCTGGCAGCACTGTTGAGGGTCTCAGGCCTCACTGCTCTGAACAGGAAAGACTCGTGATTAGCACAGGGCCCTGTCAAGGTGAACACATCCTTCTCAGTCTAGGCCTGGCTGAGCCCATCCTCCTCCACTAACTGTCTCATCTCCTTTCTTGGGCCTCCCACAGGAGCTACAATGATAGCTGTTTCCTGGATTCCTCCCTCTATCCAGAACTAGCTGATGTCCAGTGGTACGGGCAGGAAAAAGCCAAGCCCGGGACCCTCGTGTGAGCCAGCCCGGCCTAATCTGACCGCCTCAACGCCATTCTGAGATCACCTCACTGCCTCTCATTTGCCTTACCCAGACGCACCGTCACCCTGCACCAGCTTCGGCCCTCAGCACTTTTTTTCTCCTGTCTCCGCATTCCCTCCCCCTCGAAAACCTGACTGAGGAGACACTCTGGAAGGTTCCGGTCCCACTGTGTGTCCCCTGGCGCTCTTGCCCATGGAGAGCCAGACACCAATCCTCAATGGCACCTTGGTGGCTTCCCTCTGCCATGACAGCCCCTAGGCCAGGAACCGTCAGGGGGGCCGGCTGGCATCCAATTCCTGCGGACAAGTAGCATTGGGAGAGAACAAGAAAGGGGACTTGAGTTACAGGGTGACCCAGAAAGACGGTCAGCTGTGTCCAGCCTGCCACCCGTACGTAGGCCAATCAAGCACTTCATGAAGAGGAGGCCTCGTGGCATATTCAGTTTACACCTGAAATATTCCTCAATGGGACAGCTTGTGGGGAGTGGCTGTGGGGGAAGGGGAGGATGAGAAAGGAAGCTCTCGACACCAGAGATGCATCGGAGGACCACGATCAGTTCTATGCTGCCAAAGATTAAAAATAAATAAAAACATAAAAAATTAAGAGGGGCCAAGAGGAAGACATTCTTTCTGCAAGGAAATTTCGTTTAAATTCTGAACTACTACTACACATAAGTGTAAGTCAACCCTGTGTAAACTGGTGTCCTCTCTCTAGCCCTCTCCCTTACTGGCCCACGTCTCTCTCCGTAGAGGGCCTGAGAAACTGCCCCAATGCCACGGTGAAGACGAGGGAGTCTTGGCTGGCATTGCCGACTCACAGCCGCCATCCATCTGGACACAAAGGAAGAGAGACCCGCAGGAGTCATGGAGGGCACCGTTAGCCCCGGTCCATGCAGGGGGTTCAGCCAAGCCCAAGACTCAACGCTGCTTTCCTTTCAGGATTTGTAGTAACATAAGGTGATAATGGCCAAAAGTGGTTCTCTCTCATTAAAACAAACCAGTAAAAGCGTATCCTATTTTTTTGCACAAGGTGTTTCATTTTCTTTTTTATGGGAAACCAAGGGAAAAGCACATTGCGATCCATTCAGTGTTTAACTGTTGTGGCTCATTTTCTGTTCGTTAGCACTTGTGTGACAAAAGAGCTCAGATCCGACTTCTCCCATGTGTCACTTATTCCAAGAACCCAACTATGCCCTTAGGTAGAAAGATTTGACTCATGTGTCTACTAGCCAACAGGCAGAGCAGGGTTGAAAAAAATACCAGCTCCCAAAGGGCCCATGTGTCCACATCATCACTTACTGTCATGCACCACATTTGTGTGCAGATACCAAAAGAGGAAAGAAGACAAAAATTAATGTGTGGGAGCTGCACGTTTACATGTGTTTTAAGCTACACTTCAAACACAACTGGAAAGCCATCAATCTTCAAAGGCCTCAAAAATACTTTTATAATAACAAGTGCACAACTTTAGTTGGGTTATTCAAGATGGCACAAAAAGGTTTCCGCAGAGGTGGTGTTGCTGTGCTTTGGGCGCAAGTGGTTGGGGGGTGGGGGGTGGGGGTGGAATTTTTTTCTCACTCTAATGACTTCCTATTGGAAAGACATTGACAGCCAGGGACAGGAGCCAGGGTGGGAGTAGTTTTGTGGGAAAGCAGAACTGAAGTTAGCTTAAGCATAAAAAGAAAAGAAAAATCTTCGCTTTTCATGTATGTGGAATCCAAGAATAACCATAGGCTGTACCAGACCAGGAGGGTAAGGATGGATACTAAAACGAAATAAATACCAAGGTATTCCTTCTGCTGCAGCCTGGAGACCACCGAGAGTCAAGCTGGGGCGCACACACCTGGCCGGGACAAGGCGGGCCGTGGCCTCCTCCACCAAGTCTCTGTAGACGATTCAGGGCCTGCTTTCCCCAGCTCCATGCATGGCTAGACTGGTGATTCCAGCATGCAGAAGGGATTAATATTCCCAGAACGCTTTAAGTGTACACCTGCAGGACAAATAGAAACCGGTTATGATATTATTAAATGATTCTAGGGATTCATTGGGGGATTTTTTTTTTTTGCTTTTATTTTCATGGTTAGAGCTACAAAGAGCAGTGATTTTTTTTTTCTCCCTTCCCCATTCAGAAACATGATACATAGGGCCATTTTTCTTTCTCCCAAAGAAGATTCATGAAGAGTCAGACTGAACTGTGTGCAACACGAAAAGTCAAAAGGGAAAAGGAAGGTGATGAGGTTACGTGGTTACAGGTTCTACACCATGCAGAGTAGCTTGAAATCTAGTCTGGAGAAAACCGGATCAAGATTCTAGCCCACTTGAGTTGCAAGGAATGAGAGGCAAAAATTCTAAAGACTTGGGTTATGTTTTCAATTCGGGGGACAGAGAGAAATGGAGTGGGAACAGGAATTACAGTTCCAGCAAACATCATGATAGTCTGGTAGTCAAGACAGAGATTAAGTAAAACAGGTTTTACTGTTTAGCTGAGTTCAGTTAATACAAAATGTACATAAAACGTTAGTCCTTTGAGACTGACATGATTAATGATCAGTGTGGTGGGAAATGATGTAGTTATTGTACACAAGCACTTGCAAACTCTTTATCCCTATTCCTTTAAAACAAAATAAGGTGAAATATGAAGTCCCTGGTCTGATATAAAGCCCCTATTGGATTCTTCGGATACGTAAAAGAAATGGCCTGTTTCAGCCAGAAGACTGGTGAAAACTCATACATCAGACTTATGTTGTGAGCCAGGTTGATTTTTTATTTTATTATATGCAGGTGAGTGTTGAAACTGTTAAAATTCCAATTTGTTTTCATTCAGTATTAGTTTAGTTCTAAATATAGCAAACCCCATCCAGGTGCTATCAGACGACCAGTTACTGCTTAGTTAACTAGGTGTAAAGTTTTACATATACATTAATGTCAATAGTTTATTACAAGTTGTGTAAAATGGAGTCTAGTTTAATAATGGGGGAAAAAAGATTAGGTTGCTCCTGAAACTGACTGTAGAGCATGTAAAATGATTTTACTGGATTCTGTTCAACTGTAATCAATGAAAAAGATGTACGTTGTAGACAAAGTTGCAGAATTAAAAAAGAAATCTGCTTTTAATTTATTCTTTTTGTATTAAGAATTTGTATAGTACCTTTACATTTTGCAAAACAGTGTTGTCAACACTTATTAAAGCATTTTCAAAATGAAAAGATCCCAGTTGCCTCCTGGAGATTTTGTTTGTTTGTCTGTCAGCGATAAATGCCTGTGTGTGCTCCGGGAATCTGTAATTCAGGTGCTTGTGTCCTCAGTGGGTTCCTTTACTAAAGTCAATCTGTAGATAGTATTTTTATGGCCTTGCTAGATGATATAGAGAAGCTTGGTTTGTTCAGCAGAGGCAAATTCCCTCTTATTCTAGTTTCCTTTTGTTAACTGTACAAGATAATATTGTCTAAATTATGTATTCCTCCTACTACAAAAAAAGACTTGAGGTTAGAGGTCTTTATGAGGATACTATCTCAGCTTTTGCATCACTGTTCACTGCAAACAGCTGCCCATGTTGTGATATGTTCCAGCATGTGTGCTGTCCCCACAGGACAGTCCACAGCAGAAGGAGCAATGAAGGAAGCTAGGCTTTGAGGGATTGTCTTTAGTCTCTCCATGTTGTCCCTCGTTCCATGTAGGATGCAGAGGGTCACTCTCACAGGCTGCTCAGGCTCTCTGTGACTAAATTAACCCTCTGTGCTCGCACTGCAGCTCAAACCCTGCCACTGACTCTCTAAATCACATCACCAGAGCAAGTGCCTACTGGGACTGCAAGTACAGAGTCCCTGACTTATGGATGAAATGATGACTGGCTGACTTGAATAGCGACTGCTGCAATCAAATCCCTGGCCCCCTAACTTAATAGGCATCTCTTCCTAGCAAAACTGGAAGTCTGGCCTCCAATAGCATCCCTGGATGAAAAGCTCCTGGATGGGAAGCCTTGCAGAAGCCTTGGCCGCTAGAGCCAGTTGATGCTGCCAAAAAGGAAAACAATCCACTGAGAATCACATCTGGATGTAAGCCCACCAAGAGAGTGTTCTCTACTTCCTACACCCTAAAAACTGCCCGTTGGAGAGCCAGAAGCCCCTCTCCTTGGGGAAGCAACCAGGTCATCTCAAAATCATCTACACTTGAAAAAAGGGAAAGGGACCTCATGTAAGTCTTTTACATGTAAATATGTCACAGCTCAGTAAATTAACCTATTATCTTCTCATTAAGCTCTACCACACGAAAGCAACTGGTAGATAGGAAGATCCTCTTCCCATTTCTTTCCCACTCCTTCCTACTTTTCACCTCTTCATCTATCAATCTGTTTATCTAGCTCCCCTTTCACTGTGCCAAAAAAAAGTGATTCCAAACAGTTGATTATTAGAGAACACAAAGTGAACACCCCACTCCTGGTAGAACATATTGCAAACAACCAGCTCTTTATTTTCCCAGAATACCAGTTCAGAAAGGCTCTATGTAAAACTCTCTAAATATAGCAGTGTGAAGTCATCACTGATGAGAGCCAGCAGGCAGACAATGGGTCTCCAACACAGTCATTTCATCGCACATTTGGTGCAGAGTTCCAGTTCTTAAAAGCTGACTCTCATGGATGAGACAAACAGGCACACAACCACATATATGGGGAAAGGAGGACACTAACATTAAACAGGAGGAAGAGATTAAAATTATTCCCAAGGATAAGAGATCAACAGGGCATCTCTCATTGGTTACCTGAGTTGAGTGGTCAGAGATGGCAGGGAAAAAGTAGAAGAGCTGCAGAGGTATAACCTTTATGCCTTGCACAAAGTCATGCTCCCAGCAAAGTCGGTATCTACTTCGGCAACAGCTGAAGAACCTGCACTGCATTCGGAAGAATAAAACAATGTGGAGAGTAATCTCAAGAGTCCACGGGATTATAATGGCACCAAGATTGATTTTTTAAATCAGAAACACATTTCTACCTTCATAAATTTTTTTCTTCCCAGGTTATTTTTTTTTTCTTTCTTTTTTCCTTTTTTTTTTAACCCCCTTCCATTTTTTTTTTCTTCCCTTCCCACTCTACTAAATCCACTCTTGCCAAGGTCAATGACAACTCCCTGCAATGCCAAATCCAATGGTTCACTCGCTGTTCTCATTTAATATCACTTGCCAGCAACACTTTCTGGGGTGTGAAGAAGTGGGACAGTTCATTGAAACACTTTCTTCACTGAGATGTCAGGATGCCACATTGTCCTGGTTTTCCACCTGGTTTCGCAGTCCAGGGCTCTCCTTTTCAATCTCCTTGGTAGTTTTTCTTCCCTGGCTTCTTAACATTGGAGTGTCCCCAGGCTCAGTCCTTAGACTCCTTCCCTTTATTATTGACAACTATTCCTTAAACTTCCCATCTAGTCTCATGGCTTTAAATGCCATCTTTACAATGATGACACCTATATTTATCCCTATATCCTAGACCTCTCTAAAAGTTGCACATCCCATTGCCTACACAACATCCCCACGTGGATGTCTAATGTGCTAACATGTCTTGAACTAAACTCCTGACTGTCCCCTCCAAACCTCACCATGAATGGCCCTACCCAGCTTAGTTACAGGCAACTCTAGGCCTTCCAGTGCTCAGGTCAAAACTCTTGGAATCATTCAAGCTTTCTTTTTCATCAGCTTTCCTTTCCCCACACCTCACATCTGCACAAACAAAACAGATGCAAATTCCCTGCCCTTATAAGACTTAAATTACATTGGAAGTGGAGGGGGCCAATAGAAAGTAAATTAGATAACATAATAGATAAGAAAGCAGGCCAGTGGAAGATTTAGCCTATGACAGAAAGAGGAACAGCTTTTTCTCCAAATCAAGTAAGACAAGATGCTGGTAGGTTTGGAGGTAGAAATAGACCCTTAAGATTGCCTCCATATTCAAATTGTATGAGAAGGGTAGGTGAGGCCACCCTCCAAGTGAGATGAAAAGGAGGCAGCAGGGTAGGATCAGGAGAGAGCAGAGGTATCAGGAGAGCTATGGCAGGCAGGATCTGGCTGACATCGGACGCTTAGATTGTGAATTTTCTCCAGAGCAGTTACCGTCATGTCAGAGCACGGGAGGAGAGAGGTTGGAATGATTCTGGCTTGGGTGCTGTCATCGGGTGTGGCAGGACAACAAAAGCATGTGAGAGCAAAAGGGACTGGAGGGTGACTGAAATGATGATAATGGGATCCAGACTGACTTTATAAAGAGAAAACGGAAGCTGAGAAGGTGCTATTAGGTAGGAGAAAACAGACTGAATGGACAGAGGTCTCGAGGAGACTGAGGAACAGCAGGGTGGGAGTGAAGGAGGGAGCAAGGAGAGGTCTTTATGACCAGGGTGTAGGTAAAACATTAGTTTCCCCTAATCTTGCAGCTATCCCCATGGGGGTGAATCACATCATCTAGGGAGGGATCCCTATGTTGTGTTGAGGAAAGCTAGTGGAAAATTTCACCTGAGCTTGGGATTGCATAGAAGAGGACCTGGGTCTCATGGCTGTTTTCCAGGAGCTGAAAACCTGGGTGCCTGTTCTATCTCGAACCAAGACCACAGCAATTATTCTAAGGGAGATGATTGAAAAAACAACCGTCAACCAGATAGTCAAGAGGTGGGAGGCAAAAAGGGGACTCTCAGGTATCACAGAGAGAACCACAGTAGGAAGTCACCACGCTTAGGGCTGGGAACCAGAGGCAAGTCTGGGATCATTCAAATGTGGAAGCTTTTCCAGGAGCTGGGAGTGAAACCTCTCAGGAGTGGACACCACTGTCCTGGTACCGGCACCTCAGAAATGTGGGGACTCCACAGAGCTCGGATTCAAACCTCTGAGGAGGGGCACCGGCTGATGGTGCTGTGATCTTCGAGTGGAGCGATGACGCTGTTCTACGAGTGTGGAAAACTGCACCCTGGAACCCACTATTCCTCCAGGAGTGAACAGCCACTGCTTAGCTTCTGGAGAACCACGGCTGTGCCATCGTTGTTAGAAACAGAAAGCAAACAGAAAGGGGGAGCTCCCTTCTTCCTGCCTCCAGGTTCCAGTCTTTCGTGTCCAATCCTGGTGGACCCTAACAAAAAGCTCTCCAGCAAAGGATAGATGTGGTTTGCAGAGTCTCATGACAAAGCAGAGTGTGAAGATATGTTTGGAGCTGAGACAACAGCCTCACAACCAGCACCCCTACTGACCAGAAATTGGGCCCTTATCCTCTCTGAGTCCTGGCTAGACATTCCTAATTAAGGGATGAACAGGCTCTAAAATCTCAAAGAGACCTCTAAAATCTACTGCTATACTATTTAAAACAAGCTAATTTGTAGCTTTTTAATTTTTAAAAAACTCCATAAAGGACAAAAACACAAGCACTTTTTTTTGGCCCATGTTAGCGTAACGTGAGTTGCTATCTCAGAAGGAATTGTAGTAATAACAAGTCAAAGCATATCAAGCTGCTTTTCCCAAAATGATGAAATCACAATCATGTATTTTCTCAAGTATCTTTCACATCTGTAACAGATATTCAGTAGACAGTTTAATTCTCTCAAAGTCTCTTCTTATTCTGATGGAGATTTAGAGAGAATGCAAGAGGAATCAGAGCTAAATGCTTTTGTCCAATAAATTGAGTGATTCAGAATCTTGATGACAGGGCAGAAGAACTCCTTTTGGCATCTGCTCTAGTCCCTGGTTGTCCTTGAGGTGCTTTTAACATCAGTTCCATCTGTGGCTTTTCTGTAACTGAAATCACAATGTACCAACATCCACAGAACCAATTCAAGTAAATGTTATCATACCTATTTTATCTTAGGAGGATGTGGCAAAGTCCGATTTTATTCCAGTTGAAATTAACAAAGACCTCAGCACCAAGGCACACTTGCCACAAGTCACTTTTGAAAGTGACTTTGAAAGTCAATAAGTTTGACTTAGTGATTTTGAAAGTCAGTAAGTTTGAGTAATGCATATATTGCTTAGGGACTGAGTTCAACAAAATATAAGGGAAATCCAACTGTGGGAGCTTACCCAATACTGTTCTCATATAACATGAGGCCCAGAGGAAGGCAGCTGTGATGGTTAATTTTGTGTCAACTTGACTGGGGAATATGGTACCCAAATACTTGGTGAAACTCCCAAACGTATCTTGGATGTTTTTGGATGAGATTAACATTTGAATTGGTAGACTGAGTAAAC